AAATGTTGTCTTAGAGATTCTGGTGGTGATAGGAAATCATCTCGAGCATCCTCTCCGAGTACTATTTGATGGCAAAGTCGAATCCATTTTATGTGTCTTTTGTTCTTGGTATCAATTCAGAATACTGATGAACCTCATGTAAATATAATTAAATATATATACATTGTAGTTATATCTAGATCATTTGGTCGGTCGGTCATTGGTGCGATCCATAGGCTCGCGAAGAATTGTACACTTTGGGCGACAGCGTACTCGCATAGTTTTATCATTTCGAAGCATGTAAGCTTCAAAAGGTGCATCTGAGGGTAAAAGAGACCTGGTAGACTTTTGAACCCTTAGGCCCTATCGTGAGGCTCCTTATGAGAACTGACAATGATCCATATGGAATTTGGAGCGTTCAGAGGCACAACATAAATTTTTTCAATATCTTTTTTATTTATGTTTATATGTTACTCGGTGTGGGTGGTATAGGCAAAGAGCGAGTTTTTGAAAGAAAAAACAAAAAAAGACTTCTTATGAGAGGTAGACATAGTTTTTAATTTTTCTTCATTTATTTTTTTAACATAATAAATACCTCTAGTCATCGTTCGACTTTACCCCATCGCTTTCATGTGATCATTGATGATAGCAAGATTGCTCTTACCACAATGATGATGGTGTCGCTATCATCTTGATGGAGAGTGAATGATGTCGAGAGCTAATAGTCTAACTTCCTAATCGAGAGATCAAATCCTGGGTGAGGTGGAGGGAGAGAATACATGAAGGAAATAAGAGTGAGGGTAGTGGGTGAAGGACTAACTCTCGCGAGCACCATCCTCATCGATCGTCATCACATTCTATCAATAGTTCGACCTTTAATTATTGTTCGAGATCATTTGATGCCTTGGGTGAAGGAGCCTAAAAATGAAAAGAAAAACGGATAGGGCTGAGGTATATCCTAAAAATGAAAAGAAAAACAGAAACACGAAATATTTTTCCTATATCAAAGCCCTAAACCATAAACCGAACCGGGTTCAGAAAACCGAACCAAATGGGGGCGGTCCATTCCCCCAACACTCGGAAGAGGGGTTTCATATGCTTCTGCTGCGGTGCGACGGCGATTGCGGTAGCTTGACGAGGCGACTGACGCAGCAGAGACAGATGGAAGACGGAGACGACGATACGGTCTGCTTAGGCGAATCCTCGTTCTTCTTCGTCAATCGCGAGTATTTCTCCCTCCACCCGTGTTCGTCTCTTCGTCTCATCCTCTGTTTGGTTCCTCGTAAACCCTCATTCTCTCGTTGCAGCTATGAGCTCACCACCTTCTCGTTTGGGTCTCATTCTCTCGACCTCCTCTGTCTTCGCTCTGCTTCCAGTAAGTGCCACATTTCTTGTCTCTTCTTTTTGCCTTCTCTTTGTAAGCGTATGCTCGCTTATACATTTCGATCTATTTCATCATGTAATACACAAAGTTATCTCTTTTATTCTGTATTTAATTAAGATGCTATCTTGGTAGAAGATGAGCACCTAATCCTCAAAAGTAACCATTTCTTTTCAGTACCAGAGTCTTTTGGAAGTAAATCTCTGGGAAAAATAGGAGTTTGTGTATTTATGTCCTCACATAATGTACAAAACAAAGGTAAAAACTTGGTTTTAAACCATTGATCAACTTATCAGAATCTACTGCCCTGACATGGGAGTGCCTAATTTACTACAATCAGCTCATGTGGATCTTGCTGATTATATGGTATTCTCTACAGTCCGCAATGTCATCTCATAGCCTTTAATCCAGTCCACTCAAATATGACAATTCATGCACATGTTCCTTGGACAAAGTTAAAACTGTTTCAAAGTGATTTTCTTCATGATCAAAGAATGCATTAAAGATGTTAGTTACCGACTTGTAAAACATTTAATTTCGTAATTCCCTATGCATGAAGGATTGTTTCATGCACTAGTACTTATTTTGATGTTTTAGGGCTAGAAAGGAGTTTAGAAACTGATGATGTTGACATAAGTTCTCTTGGAGTTCTCTCTTAAACTCTGTATCTCTTGGATATTTCTTTGAATGGTGAGTCTTTTGTTTTCAGTTCTATATCCTTATTTATTATCATTGGGGTGGTGAAATTTTTGTATCCCTTTGTGATTTTAAACTTGTGGTGAGTTATTTTTTGATTTTATTAAAGTATTATAGTGAGTTCGTTCTTTTTTTATCCGAAAAACTTATTCCAGCAAATACAACTGTATTATCGGCTTTTTTTCAAAATCCATTCCGCATTACCCTCGTATCATTGCCAGAAATGATTCCTTAGTCTCAAGATTAACCTTAGAACTACTCATCTCTGATGATTCCACAAGTTAAAATGCTTCTAGTTTCAAAGTAAGAAAAGTTTTATCCTCTATCTGTTCCTGATAATGGAACAAAGTACTGTGTACTTTGTGTGGTAGCAGTTTTGATCGTTTAGGAAAGACAAACACTAACTATATTTGAGACTTTGATGATTTTGTTTTGCTTATAGTAAGTCTATCGATTTCTGGCAGCCGACTTCGATCTTACAGGGCAATTAGTATGGCCTGGTGCAGTGTTGCTGAACAATTACCTTTCAGAGAATGCTGGTATACTTAAAGGATGTTCAGTTATAGAGTTAGGCTCTGGAGTTGGTGAGCTGACAATGACTCTGTCTTTCTCCTCTTTAATCTTTCCTCTATTAGACTAAACATGCTTTTCTTTTTCAGGTGTTACAGGTATTTTATGTAGTAGATTCTGCCATGAGGTTGTACTAACTGATCACAATGAGGAAGTTCTTGAGGCAAGGTCCAAAAACCATCTAACCGGTACCTTGATACTGTTACATGCTTTAAGGCAAGGTCCAATAGCAGGCCTTAACTAGAGAAGCTGTCTAACATGACAGTCTCTTAATGTGTCCATTTTAAATTATAGAAATGCAAAGAAAATGAAAATAGTCTCAATAGATAAAAAATGAAAACAGCTATGGTATACACCTTAAATCGATGAATCGAGAAAATATATTCAGTTGAAATGTGATTGAGAATTTCTAGAGGCATTTCTTTATGCACTTGGATCTTGTACATGTGCTGCAGTCTTTGTCGTGATTTTGTGAGAACTGATGTTTGTTCCCTCTTAGATAATGAGGAAAAATATAGAACTCCACTCAACTTCAGACACCCCAACATCTGCTGGTAAGATGTTTTAATTTTCAGTAAATTTGTTATGTATTGAAGGTTCATAGGAATCTGATGTCTTTTTAGTTATGGAGCATCTTTGACAAAAATAGTGGCATTTCTTTTGTATATACTTAAAATTGAGGTGGATTAATACATTTGGTTTGCAGTGTTAAGAGCTGAGAAACTAGAATGGGGAAATAGTGATCATTTGAGCAAAATTTTAGAGGAGTACCCTACAGGATTTGATCTTGTTCTTGGAGCTGATATCTATATCCTATATTTTTTGCAACCTTTTCTTTTGTTATTCAGCTGTCATGCTTTTTCTTTCCTTGACATTATCTAAGCTTTCAGCAGTCCAGCATCCCTTTTCTTTTCAGTACTGTAGAGAAGCTTCTGCGTCACAGGGGTGGCGAGTGCAAATTTATACTGGCTTATGTGTCTCGTGCTAAGTTGTAAGTGTGTTCCTCATTGTCATCCTATGGCCATTACCTTTTCTTTCTTTTCTTTAAATTCATCTAGAACTTGTTCTAACTCCATGTTGCTAACAATTACTTGTATGGCTCATGGGCATATACTGTTCACTCCATGAATAAGTCGATTTATCTTTGTTGCATAATTTTTTTTATTAAACACGCATTACACCATTTGTAATGCATCTCCACACCACCTGATGAGTATTTGCCTCAAGAATTTCCAACTTTTGTTATTGTATTGATATTTTCTGAGGCAGAAATTATTACAATGCATCGGTTATGCGGGTTCTGATAACTGTCGTGAGCTACATATCTAATGGTTGTAGACTGTCCAAATTGTATAATATATTTATCCTCATAGGTAATACAATTGAACTGTCCTATGTTCATGTTTGTTTTTTGTAGCATCAGATGCTACGAACACTTGTTGACAAACTAAATGTTTGTATATGATAATAAATATTTGTATATGATAATAAATTTGTTGACAAACTAATCGTGTATATTTGACTAGAAAGTGTTGAATATTAATTAAGAGAGCAAAATGCAAGGAAAGAGAAAAAACATATACTTGAAAAATTAGGAAAGAGAGAACATAGTCAAGTAGCTGATTTTATTTATATTAATTTGATCATTTGTAGATTTGGATTTCAAAGTGAAGACAGAAATCAACTCCATCCATATTGTATCAGTGTAGTTTTTATATGACAAATTACAATTCTTAATCCAGGCGTTTAATATTCACACGTGTGTAATATTTGACTCTGTGCTAATGATGGACCTTCAGGGGTATTCCATCGTCACGCCTATTAGTTAGCAAAGTGGAATATTTATCATGTATACAATCAGTCATTTTTCTGCTGCAAACCATTTCACGTTATACCTTTTTTTACTTGTGTTTCACAGTTTCGTAATATAACAACTGTTAGTGATTAATGACACGATTAATGATTATGCGCATGTCTCCTATTAATAGGATGGACGCTATGGTTGTCAGTGAAGCTATCCGTCATGGGTTGCAGATCGACGAAGTGGATGGGACGAGATCAGTTGTTGCCAACCTTGAAGGAGTCATATTTGAGATAACCCTGAAGCGAGATTAAGATTATGTTAACAAGTGCATCTTCTTTGTCTACTTAAGAACAAAATGATGGTCAAATTGTGGCAGCACTATGTTTCTTTTGAGAATCCACTACAAAAGTTATTGCCAATCTCAAAGGAGTCATATTTGAGATAACCCAGTGAGATTTTTGTTAACAAATGCATCTTCTTTGTCTATTCAGAATAAAAAAGATAGTTAAATTATGACAGCACCATATTTCTTGAGTTGTATTGTCATAGATTTAAAATTGGAGATGCGGGGTATCGATCCCCGTACCTCTCGCATGCTAAGCGAGCGCTCTACCATCTGAGCTACATCCCCATAGATGATTTTATTTAGGAAAGAGAGAACATAGTCAAGTAGATGATTTTATTTATATTAATTTGGTCATTTGTAGATTTGGATTTCGATAGAAATCAACTCCATCCATATTGTATCAGTGTAGTTTTTATATGACAAATTATAATTCTTAATCCAAGCGTTTAATATTCACATGTGTGTAACACTCTGTGCTAATGGTGGACCTTCAGGGGTGTTCCATCGTCACACATATTAGTTAGCAAATTATAGAAACCATTTCACATTATACCTCTTTCTACTTGTGTTTCACAGTTTCGTAATATAACAACTGTTAGTGATTGATGACACGATTAATGATTATGCGCATGTCTCCTATTAACAGGATGGACGCTATGGTTGTTAGTGAAGCTATCCGTCATGGGTTGCAGATCTATGAAGTGGATGGGACGAGATCAATTGTTGCCAACCTCAAAGGAGTCATATTTGAGATAACCCTGAAGCGAGATTAAGATTATGTTAACAAGTGAATCTTCTTTGTCTACTTAAGAACAAAAGGATGGTCAAATTGTGGCAGCACTATGTTTATTTTGAGAATCCACTACAAAAGTTATTGCCAATATCAAAGGAGTCATATTTGAGATAACCTTGTGAGATTTTTGTTAACAAGTGCATCTTCTTTGTCTATTCAGAATAAAAAAAATAGTTCAATTGTGACAGCACCATATTCCTTCAGTTGTATTGTCTTAGATTTAAAAATTAGAGTTGCATGGTATCGATCCCTATACCTCTCGCATATTAAGCGAGCACTCTACCATCTAAGCTACATCCCCATAATTTATTTTATTTAGGAAAGAGAGAACATAGTCAAGTAAATGATTTTATTTATATTAATTTGGTCATTTGTAAATTTGGATTTCAAAGTGAAAACAGAAATCAACTCCATCATGTATTTAGTTAGCAAAGTGTAATATTCATCATGTATACAATCAGTCATTTTTCTACTGTAAACCATTTCACGTAACCATGTAACCATGTTATACCTCTTTTTACTTATGTTTCACAATTTCGTAATATAACAACTGTTAGTGATTAATGACATGATTAAAGATTATGTGTATGTCTCCTGAACCGAGATTAAAATTATATTAACAAGTGCATCTTCTTTGTCTAGCACAATGTTTCTTTTGAGAATCCACTACAAAAGTTATTACCAATCTCAAAGGAGTCATATTTGAGATAACCCAGTAGTTGTATTGTCATAAATTTAAAACTAGAGATACGGAGTATCGATCCCCGTACCTCTCGCATGCTAAGCGAGCGTTCTACCATCTGAGCTACATCCCCATAATTTATTTTATTTAGGAAAGAGAGAACATAGTCAAGTAAATGATTTTATTTATATTAATTTGGTCATTTATAAATTTGGATTTCAAAGTGAAGATAGAAATCAACTCCATCCATATTGTATAAGTGTAGTTTTATATGACAAATTACAATTCTTAATCCAGACGTTTAATATTCACACGTGTAATATTTGACTCTGTGCTAATGGACCTTCAGGGGTATTCCATCGTCACGCCTATTAGTTAGCAAAGTGTAATATTCATCATGTATACAATTAGTGATTTTTCTACTGCAAACCATTTCAAGTTATACCTCTTTTTACTTATGTTTCACAGTTTCGTAATATAACAACTGTTAGTGATTAATGACACGATTAATGATTATGCGCATGTCTCCTGTTAACAGGATGGACGCTATGCTTGTCAATGAAGCTATCCGTCATGGGTTGCAGATCGACGAAGTGGATGAGACGAGATCAGTTGTTGCCAACCTCGAAGGAGTCATATTTGAGATAACCCTGAAGTGAGATTAAGATTATATTAACAAGTGCATCTTCTTTGTCTACTTAAGAACACAAGGATGGTCAAATTGTGGCAGCACAATGTTTCTTTTGAGAATCCACTACAAAAATTATTACTAATATCAAAGGAGTCATATTTGAGATAACCCAGTAGTTGTATTGTCATAAATTTAAAACTAGAGATGCGGAGTATCGATCCCCATACCTCTCGCATGCTAAGCGAGCGTTTTACCATCTGAGCTGCATCCCCATAATTTATTTTATTTAGGAAAGAGAGAACATAGTCAAGTAAATGATTTTATTTATATTAATTTGGTCATTTGTAAATTTGGATTTCAAAGTGAAGACAGAAATACAGAAATCAACTCCGTTCATATTGTATCAGTGTAGTTTTTATATAACAAATTACAATTCTTAATCCAGGCATTTAATATTCACACGTGTGTAACATTTGACTCTGTGCTAATGGTGGACCTTCAAGGGTATTCCATTGTCACGCCTATTAGTTAACAAAGTGGAATATTCATCATGTATACAATTAGTCATTTTTCTGCTACAAACCATTTCACGTTATACCTCCTTTTACTTGTGTTTCATAGTTTTGTAATATAACAACTATTAGTGATTAATGACATCATTAATGATTATGTGTATGTCTCTTGTTAACATGATAGACGCTATGGTTGTCAGTGAAGCTATCCGTCATGGGTTACAGATCGACGAAGTGGATGGGACAAGATCAGTTGTTGCCAACCTCGACGGAGTCATATTTGAGATAACCATGAAGCGAGATTAAGATTATATTAACAAGTGCATCTTCTTTGTCTACTTATGAACACAAGGATGGTCAAATTATGGCAGCACTATGTTTTTTTTAAGAATCCACTACAAAAGTTTTTGTCTATCTCAAAGGAATCATATTTGAGATAATCCTGCGGTGAGATTTTTGTTAACAAGTGCATCTTCTTTGTCTATCATCCCCGTACCTCTCGTATGCTAAGCGAATACCAGTGTGGTATATCCCCGTGTGGCAAAATTTTTTAATAATTTTTATTTATGTTAAGCTTGTAAGAAAATACCAGTGTGGGCTCATTTCTATCGATTAGTATAAGATGGATGGATACGAGACAGTCTACAGTTGTTGTGGGGCGTTGGCTGGAAGAAGCGTTTCCGGTGTGAAACCCGCACCCCTTCAATGCCCCTCTCTTCCCGCCTCAAAACATGCACAGCCATAACTCTTCACTAACTTAAGAGACGAAACGTAACCGCTCTCCCCCCTTCACCACCATCCTTCTCTCCCGCCATCCTCCTTCCTCCCTCCATCCGTCAAAGCTCTCTCTCTCTCTCTCAATATACATATATATTTAGGATTGTGCCGACAGCCGCCACCGGACGGACATTGCTCCGGCCGCTTTGCGTCGACAACCACCCCATGACACGGCCACCACCACCCCCTCCCCCGCCGGGCGAGGCGGCGGTGGACTCCGACGGGACGGAGACGGAGTCCAGTGTGCACCGGTTCCCGGTCACCCTGCTGCAGCCATCGCAACGGAAGCACCACCAATCCAAACCCACCAGGTTCCTCCGCTCCTTCCGCTCCGCCTTCCGCTCCCTGCCCATCCTCGCCCCGCCCGGCTGCCACCTCCCAGCTGCCGCTCCCCACCAAGGCTCCCGCCACCGCGACGGCCACGTCCGCGGCGCCACCCGCACCACCGGCACCCTCTTCGGCCACCGCAAGGCCCGCATCACCCTCGCCTTCCAGGACAACCCCCGCAGCGTCCCCCACCTCCTCCTCGAGCTGGCCGTCCCCACCGCCAGGTTCATGCAGGACATGGGCTCCTCCGGCCTCATCCGCGTCGCCCTCGAGTGCGAGAAGAAGGCCGCCGCCGGCGCCGGCAAGAGCCGCGTGCTGGACGAGCCCATGTGGAGCGCCTTCGTCAACGGGCGCAACGTCGGCTACGCCGCCCGGCGGGACCCCACGGAACTGGACCTTGGCGTGATGCAGCTGCTGCACGCGGTGTCCATGGGCGCCGGCGTCCTGCCGGGGGACATGACCGACCCGTCCGATGGCGAGCTCACCTACATGCGCGCCTTCTTCGACCGGGTGGTCGGGTCCAAGGACTCGGAGACGTTCTACATGCTCAACCCCGACGGCAACGCCGGGCCGGAGCTCAGCATCTTCTTCGTTAGGATCTGATACAAATGTAATCCCTATTCATCTTAGCTTCTTCTCATGTAGAGATCAAACACGAGAGATTGTTAGGACAGAAGGCTTGGTAGAAATAAGCTGAGCCGTTCACCTTCCAAGGTTGCCATTGGCCATAAATGGCGGCATGAAAAGGCAAGAGAGAGAGAGAGAGAGAGAGAGAGAGAGAGAGACTTCAGACAGTAGGAGATAACTCAAAAATCAACGATTGTAGACTCTTGAAATTGAGATGGGAAGGATTTTGCAATTAGAAATTGTATAGATTAATCGGTTTCTGCAAGGATTTGTTTATCTGTAATCAGCTGATTTGACTTTGAGAATCTAAAGAAAAGCAGAGAAGACAATCAATCTCTCGATCTCTTGTAGTTTCAAACAGGTACACAAAAAAGCTCAACTTCAATTTGTTCAGTATATATATCGGACATTTTATTAGAAAAGTTTTATTGATGGATTTTTACCAAATAATACTCCTATAATTAGTTTTTATCTAAGGAATCTTTTTTCCCATCAAAGTGATAAACATACTCTTCTTCTCAACACCACTATAGTAATTGATGCAAACAATTGGAAAGGTTACAAGTAGAAATAGAAAGCCTTGACACTATTAAGGTACTCTTTGTGGTAAGCCACAATCATACACTACCTAACCTCTCTGTCATTGAAACTTATATCTTTTGGAATTGAACATTTGAAATGGAGCTTGGTATGTCTTTTCAACTCCATTTTGGTATGTTTTCCTCAGTCAGGTTTCTATCCCCAGTACAGAAAAAAAATGAAGCAATCATTGTCCCATGGTGAAGCCTTCTACTAAGCATCAGTTAGTAGAGTGCATGAGTTCTTCTGTCTCTACACCATCTTCTCCATCACAGAAACAATGTTTCTGGCAATTGTTCTGAGACAAAGAATCACAGTGAACATACTTGGTTTTTCTTGTAGAATTTGACACAGGTAGGGTTGTTTTAAGAGTGAGCTTATGCCTCTGTAATTTGCTGGCTTTGCATATTCTTAGGACATGGATTGTTATGCTATTAGTGGTTTGCTGTTTCTAAACTTTGAATCATTCTCTAACTTATGCTACATACTGCCCTTTATCACTGAAATGAGAAGACACAACCTTTCTTGCAGAGATTTGACTACCATTTACAGATTAAGCACTTACAACCAACTCAAGCAACTGTTTGGCTTTGCAGATTTAAAGTGCCTTAATCCATTGGAGATTCTTCAATTTTCATGTATTTAAACAATAATTTCATAAAAGAAATTGGTCTTTTAACTCTTAGGATTCCCTTTGACACCATTAATATACTAATATTCAATATTCATAATTATCCAATTTACTCATAAAAAAAATCAAGATTTTAGTTTTTATGAAAGAGTATACCTTTTTCAATTTTAACTAAGACATCCTCGATAAAAAATATAAAAAGATGATGATTATTCTTTGACTAAGTGTTTTTTCGATGAATCAAACTAGTCCGATTCAATTAAGTCATAAATTATCTTCCATCTCCTTTGACCTCTCGTATCGTCGTCTCTTCTCTTCCTTTCACATCATCGCTCTCTTCGTCTCCTCTTCCTCAAAATTATATCCGTATCTTAAATCATCATCTAATAAATGTAATTACTCGAATTAAAATAACTTAAATATTTATTTTGACCCTGAATCGAACACATCCACACGTTTGTGGTTGAGGGTCAAATATCAAGAGAAACATGTCCCACCTCTTGAGCGCCTCGGCTCACCAAATCCCCGTGCCCGTCTTTCATACCACCACGATGGGCCGGTGGTCCCCAAACGTGTCATAATCCGCTTCCGAAACTGTGGACCCCGCCTAAGCCGATGTATCATTGGATCGGAGTAAGCGGGCCGGCCTCCACGCAGCGATCCGCGGCTCCGCCGTTGCGGCACCACCGCCCCGTGACGGTTGGGACGCCCCACCATGCCCCTCGATGTAACGGATGCCCTGCGAGCGTCGTGGCTCCTCCGCACCTTCCTCCTGGCTTCTGACCGTAGGATTCACCAGCTGTCGATCATCCGGTGCGCTATCGGGAAGCAATGAAAACATCTCTCACGAGGGGCCCACTAGGAACCGAAACACAAGCGCGGGCCCCTTTATTCCCTCCACTCTAAATTCCACGAGGAAAAGCAGCACTTATCCGCCAACGATTGATGGCCACGTATAAATTAAGATCGTTCGGCTTCGGATGAGATCGGTGTCCTCTGTTCTGTAGCAAACAGTGAATCCGGAACCATTTACCCTGACACAGGTCTCGTCTTATAGCGAAGAAGCGAGACCCAGTTGTGCACGGAGGCCGCTCGCTCGTCTCGCTGCCCTCTCTCCTCTTCCTCCGATCCCCTCACGCACATGTAAGAACGGCGACGGAGAAAGATCCGAGCTTTCCTTCTTTTCTCGATCGAATTGAAGCCCAATTTGTTTGATTTCTGATCACCTTGTTCCGTTTGTCTTGCTGGATCTTGATATTGTCTCGATCTTGGTGGGTTTTAGGTCGAGCGATGGGGAGCAGAATCTGATCCGTGCTTTGGAGGGACCAAGCTTCCTCGGCGATCATGATTGATCCGGCGGCCCAAGGTAGGGTATTCTCATCGTTTTCTCGCGTCGGATCTTTGAATTCTTTACTGGTTTCTTGGGTGAAAGATCGGCACCCTTTTCGGGTTAGTGGTCGATCTTGACGGTTGCGATGGTGGGACGGTGAGAATTAGGGATGATGGTACTCGTTCTTGATCCGGAAAATTTTTTACGGTCCGACGTATCAATAGATTTTCCTTCTGAGAGTAGTTCGAAGGACATTGGTTTTATTTTTCTTGTTCAGGGTTTCTGAAATACCTGCGGACGTTGTTCTGGTTCTTTTCGTTGGTCATTCTTGCTAAAATTTTGTTAGGTTTATATTGACTGTAACTTGTTTGTGTTTTTTCTTAGATCGGATCCTTAGACGAAATCAGCAATTGAAATTATTTTGTCCCAGAAGTGGGTTATACAGTAAAAAAATACATGCCTTCTTTAGGTCATATGGCTTTGTATGTCTCCTAACTTTCAATTAATTGGAAAACTTTCTGCCTAGGGTGGAAACTTATGCTCATTTTTTTTAGGTTTGCGCTAATTTAGAATGTGGAATAAAAAGGACACTATCTCACAAACATACATTGAATTTACAGCTTGAGATGGTAAATACTGAAGCATATTATCACATAGCTGTTTGTTTTTCTTTCTTTATGGAATGTTAATAACTGATTACGTTTGTCAATTAGACTGTACTCATTGAATTGTTGTCCTCTGAAAAATTTTACATATACTGATCAGGAAGTTCTTAGGTTCATCCCCAGTTTGTTTGGTTATCCTATTCAATCCTCAAAATAATATAGAGTTTCTCTCAGTTTAATTCTTCTGTGAATGTTGTGCTAATCTATCAATAGTCCGATACAATACAAAGTCATGGACAAGCATCCTTAAGTTTTGCAAATTGAAGCTATTATGGAAAATACTCATTGTTTACTGAATTTGAAGGTGAAAAACGAGAAAAAATTTAATGGTGCTTCAAGCAGTGTTATTAAGCTTTTGAAGTGTAATGTCAAATATTTGTCTTTCTCGTCATTTATAAATTACCACCTATTAGGCATGGTGTTACTCAGATGAACCAGGAAAGCATCTGCAAATTAGTTTAGAAAAGGAAAATAATAACATAGGAGGACATGACAAAATAGTGAAATATTAATATAAATGATATATGCACATAGAAAAGGTTTGAAGAGCACTGACATAACTAAGAGCTGAGAGATTATGATGTATCATGAATGGATCAGTACATAAGGGAGGAGCAGTACCACTCTAGGAATTTTATTTAAAGTAACCAACAATTCTTCATAGAGTGTAACTGGAGATTGTGGTGTTTCACACAATGCACATTCTGGATGGACATCTTCATAAATAATACTTCTCTTCATCCTGCTTTGCTACATGTCATGCAGGTACTTGGCCCATTTAACATAATCCTAATTGGACACCCTACATAAAATGACTCCATTACTTGGATACTGTAAGTACTACTATCTCATAATAACAGATTCTCCATGGTTAAATGTAACAAAGATTCTTAAATAGACATGACTTCTAGGAATCTATTGACTGAATCATGTAATGTTGGCACTTTTGAACGACCTTAGAACTTCCTAAAAGTACAGTTAGATAAAATATCAACTACAAAATATATGAAATAGGAAATCTAGTTTCAAGATTCATAAATAAATTGACTTTCTTTGAGGACTAGTAACTTGAAGATAAACCTATTTTGGACTAATCTAATCCTACACTTGAGATACATCAAGGGCCTATGGAGACAACTTGCCTGGATGATTAGATTCCTCTGTTAGCAGGCAAAGGTTGCCATATAAAGATATCATTGTGCAAGAAACAATTCAGAAAATTTGAAGTAGCTAGGAAGTTTGAGTAAGTCAAACTTGGTAGTTGATGTGCTGGTTGATCCAGGATATGTATAGAGAGTTGGTTTAATTTCAAAGTTTTGGTTCATATTGATAAAATTATCAAGATACTTGTTATGCACAGAAAGCAGTGCCTATTAATATAACTTATCAGAGGACATTGAGAAGAAACAAAGAGAGAACAGTTTCTAAAAAGCGAAGGATCTCAGTGGACTCTATAATATGTGAACCACATGTGAGTTTACAGCAAACAAGAAAAGAAAGTTCTAAAAAAAGAAGATTATAAAGAAATGAAATGGAAAAGAAACAGGTCTATGACCAGATGAATTTTTCATCAATTCTCATAGTTCATTACAGTGTTTAGAATAATCTAATCATGTCCTCAGATTGTGGTATGACCATATGGATACTTCCAATAAAAAACAAAGAAAGAAAGAACATATCTGTATATTGCTGCTGATCTAGATTAGCACTCAGCTAACCAGAAAAAGGAAGGAAAGCTGCTTAAAGTTTTTCCTTACTCCTCTCAGTTGCATCTTTCTCTCTTTAAGAAATCAAGTTCATCTAGAGCTAATCTAACAATAATGTGGCAACTTTTGGATGCCTAATGTTGGCTTAAGTAGGAGGCCAATATTGAAATAAGGACCAGCAAGAAGAACTAATTTATTACTTAGAAATCAACTATTTTTGTCTTGTGTTAATTTGTCTTTTAAGGTCTTAATTAGAATATTATATATGGTAATTATTGTCCACTATTTTTTAGAATCATTTGATTAGTGAACTAGAAACCTCAAGTCTAAAATTTCATGCTTATTAAAGTGGATTTTGCTTGTTGCTTTTTAATTATTTAATAAAAAGGTGGCTGAGCTGATATCAATTTGGTAGGTGTTAGTACTCTTCTTCTATAGTTATGACCAAAATAAAGCTGGGCCCACTTACTTATTCATGCAAAATAAACAGTATGGAAATTGGTGTTACAAGATTTTTGCTGGCCTCCCCTTATTCTGTTCTTGCTTTGATTGTATTAGCTAGTCTCACTCTGGCTTAATATTATAACATTCCGTTCCTCCCATACATATGTGTTAAAAAGTAAAAACTATATGAAAATATAGATTTTTGACATTCAATCAGATTTTAGTGCTGCTCTGAATTAGCTCATGTTCAATGGGTTATATTTGAATTAGTGGTTCACCAGACTATTCACTTTCAAGCACTACAGTTGCAGATTTCAAATGTAATAACCTATTCCAATGCATGAAGAATAATGGCAGAATACATGATTGGCAACATTCATCCACTTGGAGAAAAAGAAGCATGAGTGGAAATTTGATGCACTTGCAATGTTGAAGGAGCTCTTTGCTTTTATTCAGGTGATGATGCCAATACCAGAGAAGATTTGGCATGAAAGATGTAACAAAAGAGGAGGATTGAAAAGAAAATTCAGTTATTTAAAAGAATCCATTATTGAGTTTTTGTGGAAGTATTGATAAAAACGGAATGAATTTATTTTCAGAGGTAGCTGTGATGCAAGAATATCATTATGTTAACATTGATCAAACAATTGATCAAAGGAACTTATAACTTGTGTTCATAATTGCTGTGTAATCTTATCCCCCGAGTCCCAACAACATAACCCTTGTTGTAAATTTATAATTTTTTTTAGTGCGATGGAAGTTTGTCCAATTATGTGTTTTGCCAACACATTGCACATGCATGTCAAACTTGTATGGGTTGGGGGATGGTGCTCTTGTTTCTTTTTCTTTTTGAAACTCAGTGATTCTTTTGACCAATATTTACATTGTTCTTTTCTTTAAAACTTTGCCTCGAGTATGCTGCATATGTCATACTTCAATAAAGTAAGCTACTACTTGTGACTTTTGATTAAAACAAAAGGTTTGTGATGTTTATTATGCTATCTCACAAAATCTTTGGCACACAATTGTTTTCCTCAGCCATTGTTTTGCTATAAATTGCTATCAAGAATTTTTGACCTCATATTGAGGGGCATGCAAAGTGCCAAAGCAGGCTTGTTGTGGACTGAACATTTAGTGAATGCTGTCAATTTTCAATTCACGTGGATCTTTCTTATGTAATCATGTTACATATATGCAACTTTGGCTTTTGCTTATGTTATTTACTCGAGTGCAGATAAAATGCAAGGAAACCGTGAGGCATCCCCAGGATGCCCTAAAGATAATGCATCTCATTCGAACTCTCAAGAAAGTGGAAATGTTGTTCAACGGTTTCCTGAGCTAAAAGATGGAAAGGATTTACCTGTTTGTGATTTTACAAAAGCAAATAACTCAATGAGTTGGGAGCCCTATGCAATACTAAATCAAGGTTACAGTGGACCTTTCTACAGACAAGAAACACTTGCACTGCCATTTCCCCATCCTGATTTTTTAATGTTGCGGCAAGTCCAACTGAATGCTTTTGAGAACAATGTCTATCCAGTAACCCGGGATTATCCATTTCCTGTTGAAAACGGATTTAGTTATATGCCACCAGTCAAGATGTTTTCTCAAGTTCACCCACATAAATTTCAAATTCAAGAATTTCAGTACTTTGTAGTTATTGACTTCGAGGCCACATGTGACAAGGAAAGGAATCCACATCCACAGGAGATCATTGAGTTCCCATCTGTCTTAGTCAACAGTGCAACTGGTCAACTAGAAGCTGTTTTTCAAACATATGTGCGGCCTGCATATCATCAACATCTTACTGATTTCTGCAAGGAACTCACTGGGATACAACAAATTCAGGTTATGAATTCATTCTCTGTCCCCCCCTCCCCTCTCTCCTTTTTTTGGTTATTTCTTACATTTCTCAATATAGGATAATTATATTTATTTCTTAGCTATGGGTTATGACAATACCAGTCCATATAAATTGTTGCTTTAATGATATTTAATCTCACACGGAATACATGTATTATGGAACATCATATTTCTGAATGGTGGCTGTTTCCTTATCATACTGATTGGCTGACTGCTTCATGATATTAGGAGAAATGAATTTTCATTCCTTAATATGCATTTTTTGGTGAGACTATCACTGAAAACCCTTGTTTGTGCCGAGAGTCTTTCCTTTTTATCAAAACATTGTCTTAGCTAAATGCAAGAGGTTCTTTGGTTTCTGACAGTTTGCACATACTGAGATTTACCAACTTGCTGCTAGTCAGCTCCAACTTTTATACTTGCTCATGCTTGATGTGAACGTCAATTGACAAAAAACATTAACCAAGGGGGCTAACCATTTTTTTCTTTAGGTTGACACTGAATAGTATAGATTGACATTGAATGCAGCTTCTTTTGGTACTGTCTAATGACTTGCGATGAAATGGTGTCATGCAGGTCTATGAAGGCATAGAATATATTCTGCCAACACACAACACTCCAAGGCATATTGTATAAGAAAGAAGCAAACTATTTCATGAAACATACTACAAGAAGAAAAAAGTTAAATGGCTTGTTCTGGTCCAAAAATCAGATTGTAGTTAAATATTCCATTGTTTGTTCAACAACCACATTGCTGTAAACATGTTTGTTGGCTCTTTAACATTTTTTCAAAGAGATGGAATCAGTCAATTCTGTTTTGGAGTTCCCAAGGTTAACAGAATAAAACTTTTCCATATGTTAAAGTAGTAAACACCTTGTTCCTTGGCCTAGCTTAGTTTGAACTTTGAAGAACTAAGGAACAAGTAAAAGTATTAGTTTGCATAGTATGCTAGCATGGCTTAGTGGCTCATTTAACAAATTGAAGCTGTTGTGCTATCTTTCCACCTCTGTCAGTATGATATGGGACGGCATCTACTGTATGCTTATTTTCTTATCTTTTTTTGGGCAGTCATTTGTCAACTTTTTTATGATAAGTTTTTTGTGAAGAGCGCTAAATTTGTTTAGATATAAGTTCGTTAAGAATTAATATGTGAATTCATTAATTGATTGTTGGGGAGTAGAACTGATATAGGACAACCTAGAGGGTGCTAAGGCTCATTGGGGTTGGCAATTGAATGAGCAACAAGAGAATATAAAAGAGACAAAATGGAGAAGATGATTCGAGAAAACATGTTTAATTCATATAAAAACCAATTGAACAATAAAATACAAATATCAGGTTCAAACATATACCAGGCTTGAGTGGAGAAATAGACATTGATGCTGCCCTTTTCCAGTAATGGCCCACATTATGCCTTTTTCTCCCTTTTCATATACCCCTATGTACAAGAAGAAAAGAATATTTTTGACAAGCTTACAATAAAAAAATTACAATCAAGAATTCCATCCCTTTAACTGAGGTCTATAAACTTTCTTTCGTTGGGGTTGATATACTTCTAAATGAATTTTGGAAGATTATCTACCCTTTGTACATAATACTTGATCGATATAGGTTTCCTTATTCGTGGATTCTTCAATCAATCCTGAACTGATTAGGATGAGATCCTCAGCCAAGTTCATTTCAAAGGACTAAAACTGTTCGAAAGAAAAAAAAGAAGTTGACTAAAATGAAAAACTTGTTAAATCCAGTCCGAACCTAAGTTCACAAATGCAAAGGATTCGAGTTGGCCTTTCTTCTGCATTTAATATAGGCTCAAATTTTGCCTCTATTTTCTATGCTATCTTTTGCTGATTTGAGGATCTGTTTTTATTAATTTTTACGCATATCAGTTTATCCTCATTTTCTGCTTGAATTTCATTATGCGTGTAAAGAGTTTTTGATTAATTGTTTTCTTCTTTTCACAGATATAATTGGATTTGGTTATTTCTCTATAGTCTTTTACCAAGTTTGCAAAGAAATTGTATCTGCTGATTTGAGGTTTTTAGATACTGGTTTTAATAACTTGTTAGATGGTACGGTACTGAGACATCGAACGGTATACTAACTGTACTGCTTGTTGTTGCAGAATAAAATAATACAAAATTAAAATGAGCAGTATAAGGATGCTACCTTGCCGATCCCAAATAGTTGAGACTTATGACTTTGTTTATTGTTGTCCTTGTAATATAAGGAATGCCACCGAGCTGCATGACCTGTCACTGTTGCTTGGTTGGACTAGTAATTACTAGTCCATGTTGTACCTGTTTATTCGCCATTTTAAGTCATGATCGGATTAACCCAAAGAAAAACAATCTAGTAAGATTCTCTTTTTTTGCTTTGATATGAGCAAGGATGGTTTAAGAGTGATTTCTGTTGAATCTAGAACCAGTGATTTAAAAAGCGCTAGGCGCCAAAAGGCGCAAAGGTCCAAAAACATCCGAGGCACTCGCCCGAGAGAAGCGAGGCGCTAAAATATAAAAATATATAATATAATTAATAAATATAACTATTTAAAATTTTAAATAAAAATATGCTATTTTAAATAAAAATTCTAGTCGCGAGCAGAGGGAAGGCTCGCGGGAGTCGCGAGCAGCGGGAGGCGCGAGTAGGGAGTCGCGAGCAGCGGGAGGGCTCGCGGGAGGCGCGAGCAGAGGGAAGGCTCGCGGGAGGGCTTGCGAGAGTCGCGAGCAGCGGGAGGCTCGCGGGAGCACGAGCAGCTGGAGGGCTCGCGGGAGCGCGAGCAGCTGGAGGGCTCGCGGGAGGCGCGAGCAGCTGGAGGCGCGAGCAGC